TCAAGGCAGCGGGCGGGCGGCTGTGGTAGGAAAAGAGGCGTGGGCGGGCAGGCCTGCTGCTGGATACCACGGTGCAGGCGTGGATCTAGTGCAGCGGGAGCAGAAGTCTCTCGGCGGAGGGGATGCGCAAAGACTGCTGGTCAGGCGCCTGGTTGCTGGTGGACAGCGTGGGTGAGAGAGGTGGATAGTGACGGGGGGATGGTGAAGTGCTTCTTGAAGCTTTAGCTACTGGCGGCCGCCAGCAAAGTAATAGTGCCATAGCAGTTTCCGCTCCCTTGTATCCCGCCCGAGCCCCCCACTGATCCGAGCGTAGAGCATCCCACAGCAACTCCCTGCCCTCCGTCACCGTCTAGAGAGACAGCCATGCTCGTCCGGACCTATAGATGCCCATGGAATATACTTGAAAGGTTTTTGCACCACCAGACACTATCGCCAACGACTACACCTCTCAAGCGACTACAGCTTCATACTACCATCAAAGAACTCCACATCATCACATCAACCTAGCGATGACGACATCCATACACAACACAGAGCTACTATTGCACCATCCATGACTCCATAACCAAAAGGAAAACTACAATATGTATGTATCTCAGTATAGGTCATCTCCAATAGGTGCATGGCAGCACCGCCGACCCAACTGCAACGTCTCCTCCCATCTCTCATCAGGGTGCTCGTGCATGGTACGTAGGTACCACCATCCCGTACCTACCACCTGCGCGTCCCGCTAGCAGACACCTCCCTCCCATCGTCGCCCTCTCCATCAACCAGCCTCATCGTCTCTTCTAGAACCAGCAAGTCTCGTTCAATCATCTCTGCCCAGTTCTGTATATCTCCCACCTCGTTCAGTTTCTTGGTGCCTCCCTGCAACAGCTTGTCCCACTCGGCCCGCTGTTTAGCCAGCGCCGCTGTCTGCTTTGCCAGTTCCTTCTCCTGCTTAGCTATTGCTGCCGAGTTTGCATGCAGGTCCGCTGTTCGCGTGCGCATCTCGTTGTCGACAGACGCGCCTACAGACGCCAAAGATGCTGTAACGGCGGCGCGCGCTTCCGCCTGCCGGCGAGCTGCTTCCTCTGATGACGCGCTTGGGGAAGACATGTTGACAGTTTGTGGGACAGTCCCCGAGACGGACTGTTGGGCGTTGTTCATATTTGAAGCGATAAACGGACGGTATAGGCTGCTGCTAGCTCAGTGTAAAGTAGTGTATAGTGCCGCCTTGATGTGAGTGGCCGGGTAACAAGCGCAGTCCGTGGTACACATCTCGACAGGAAGCTCGCTACTCTTTGTCCGTCGTATAAACCCCAACATATCTGCAGAGCTAGTAGACACGTGCGACAAGCCTCATACCCTGACACCATCACCCAGCCATTAAGGCGCTATCAGATGCGGGGTAGTGAGTAGCCATTGGCAATGCTAACGTAGGGCAAGACTATGTGAGCATGTGGTACAGCACCATTAATACTGATCGCATGTGCTCCAGTCTTCGTCCATCATACAATAGGGCTCGATGTAAAGTCGTGGTGGCTGCAAGTACACCATGAAGGTAGAGGCGGAGAGGGGTCAAGAGCAGGGGTTGAGAAACACCAAGGGCTTATCGATTACCAGGGTACAAACATCGTGGTCAGTAGACCAATCAGCAACTTTCGTCTCGCACACGACTCACACTCAAGTATCTTCAGACGTAAAGCAATGAATTCGTAAGTTATGAAGAGACCAACAGCAGAAGAAGAGAAAAGAAATATGTTCATCAAATGAAAGTGTGACCCAGTCACAGCAGAGTCTCCGACCCATGCAGTCGATCAGCGACAGCAAACCTAGGCCACAATCGCCTTTGCAACACGCTTGACAGTGTTAGCCACAGCCGCTGCGGCATTTTCAGCCTCACGCTTCGCATTCCTCGCCTTGATCTTGGCCTGAGCAGCCTTGATCTGTTGCACCAAGAACTCCACACCCTCATCGGCCCGGAGACCGTACGTCAAGTGTGCAGGCAACACAGCCAGGGTACCAAGGCAAACAGCATCACCAGGCTGGCAGATGATCTTGACCTTGTCCTTTGGGAAGTCGGGAATTTGGTTGCGGTCCTGGAGCTTTTGTGTGTCGCCGTAAAGCACCACACCAGCAATCTGGTCCTTGACGCCCGCATCAAGCTCTTCGATAGCGCGGTGGTTGACCGCTGCGCCCTGGCTGTAACCTGAAGACACAATGACAGAATCCGGGCACTTTGAAGCCATGGAGGTGAGCGTCGACTTGAGGAGCTCCTTAGATCGGCTATCAGTGCCACCGGGAAGTGCGTTGGTGCCGAGCGCAGCAGCATAAGGGATGCCCTCAGTAGCAACGTTATCCTTTCCAAATGCCTTCTTCAAGCCATCCGATGTAGGTGGTCCGACAACAGTTCCCTGATTATGTTAGTAGTGCTAAATTACCATTTGCGTGGGCCTACAAACCATGTTGCCAATTTCCGTTGAGCCACGAGTAAAAGCAAAGAGAACTGGTTTGCAGCCACCTCGACTGAACTCGCTCGCACTGCTACCAGTACCTCCAAAGAGTTGGCGACTCTCAATGGGACCGGCTGCCGCAATGCCAGCAAGGGCAGCAATGAGAATGGATTTGGTGTACATTTTCTCGATTGGAAAAAGTTGGTTAGGACTGAAAGTTGGTTCTTTGAAGTAAGATGAAAGCGAAAGACTGGAGAAATTGAGAAATCAAGAAATGGAGCGAAGGTATGCAAATAGGAGCACCAGCTCTGCTGTGATGGTCAAACTGTTGATGATGCTCAATAGAAGTTGGTGTCCGACCTTCTTATATCTTCAAGGCCTTCGGAGGTGATGCCCAGTTCAATCAACCCATGACGATCTTACGGGACGCAAAGGACATCAGTGCACTTGACCATGCCACCACGACATGTCCTTAGTCACAAAGCACATAGAACAGTACCATACAAGGCACCTGCCGGGCAATCTATTCAACGGCACGATGGACTATTGGCTAACCCTGCATGAACACAGTCTTGGGGAGAAAGCCATGGCCATGCAAAAGCCGGCCAAGAGCTTGCCAAGTGCACGGTAGTGATGGAGGACCTGAGTAAGAATAGAAGTCGGGAATACACGAGTCCTGGGCTGTCGATCCCAGCCCTACGCCACAAGGTTGGTAGCCAGTCACAGAAGTGCAATTACCCGACTACCGAGTACTCAGACCAACGCTCATGCGGCTGGATCATGCTTTTGTCAAGCACCCCCCGTAGAACTTGTAACAGGGCCACTGACTTGCTTGATAACAGACATGGTACGTTTTCAGAAAATTTGACATGCCTCGGCACCTCAAAGTCTCTACAGTCTGTCATTGGCTGCAGATGCGTTTGTCGACGGGCTGCCAGTGTAGGAATTTGACAAGACAGGTGGATGTCTGTCTCGGAATGCCCCGAATGACCTCACAAATCCAATGCAAATGTCTTTGCCTGAGGTATCCCATCAGGCAGTCTGTGACCATGGGACGTTACACACAAACCAATTTTTTTCAAAGAGCTGGACAGGTTGTGCAGCATAACCAACGGGTACGAACAAGCTTTTGCATATGAGTATCGTTTGTATAAAGGTGATCGACGTGCTCCCGGGAGCGTCCCGCCAATATGCCGTCCACTATACGGCTAGCGCACAGGGGGGCCACGGGCGCCTTTAGTCGTTTCAGGCCCAGAGCCTGACGCAAGAAGCAACTGACTAGCACCATACCGAAACACTGGCAATGCATACTTTACAGGTTCATCGATGCAGAGTAGATGCAGATAGATGGACTTGAGGGTGGGCTGATCGCTGGCAAGTGCTGCTGTTAACGAAGTCTAGATCACATGACCGGGGAGGATCTCTCGAAAGCGTGATTTCAGTCGCGTTGGAATGGTGCTTTGGGGCCGAATCGAGTCAATCCTATTGCGATCAGTCGAATTGATCTTTAGCATTCTGTTCAGGGCCAAACCACGACATGGACTTGCGTCAATTGGGAAAATCCATCGGCATTCGATCGACCCACCACGAATCGCAGCCCGGACAAACCCGATTTGGAATCCCAAAGCAACCTGCTTCAATCACATACATACGAAAAAGGAGACTCAAAGACTCATGTGGTAATGATCTCACGACTCGCCTTGCAGCCAATATTCCACCATGCCGACCCCGATGTTCGTTTCGAAACATTAGGTATTTTCGGGGTCCAACAACCGCATGCGCATGTCCCAATTCGGAATAAAAAGTGCCACAGGTGTTTCAATCATGCCGGCTGTTGATCTGTAAACAGGTATCTGCCGTTGTAGGGCAGGCTCAAAATGGGGGTGTCATGTGTCCATCACATGAGTCAAGTTCCCGTTACACGACACAACCCGATACGAGGAAGGGGGGCTTTGCTTCTCGACCTTTTTTTTTCCTTCCATCCTTAGGCTGCGCTATGAATGTGTGGGAGGGAAAACATTGGTTACATATGTACTGTGTGCATGGTGCATCCCCTCCTTTCCCCTTTCGCGTCTGGAAACCTCGGCCGGAGTTGTGTGGGGACAGGTGGGTAGAGCAATGCCTTCTGGATGAAGATGGGGGGGGGCTAGGTATAAAGGGTTCCCGAGGCGCTGTTTGAGATGCCGTCCAGATCCCGAGTTTTCTTGGTAGTACAATGCCTTCCTTACCAAGACTCTGGTATTGATAGCACGTGCGGTTGCTGGCTGACTGATTGATAAAAGAACGGGTGGGTTCCCGACGGGGAAGCAAATGCCGCCATGAGAGGGTGGTTCACCACCCATGCCCCGATGACGGGGCATCTTGTAAGGCCGAGCACAAGACCGCTATGATATTGCATGCATGTACCTCTAGTATATCTGTAGGATTCGAAAAAATTCATCTTGCATAGTCTGTTCAATACTACAATTTTTTTCCCAAAGACACTTTTATCTTCCAGCATACTTTGAATTCGAAACAATACGACCGTACCTTTTATTCTTACCTTTTTTTTCTCCAGAAAGAAACATGAACGACCCAATCGCCGACGCAAAAGCACAAGAGGCAACACACAACTATGAATTCCGCGTCGCAACGCCCGACGACATTCCCGCCTTGCAACAAATGATAGGCGATTCTCTCCGCGCCCTGGGCAAAGGATACTACACGCAAGCCGAGCTCGACGGCTCAATAGGCTACCTCTTCGGCCCCGATTCAGTCTTAATCCACGATCAGTAAGTAAGGCGTTCCACTCTGGTCGTCGCATTGCCCGCATTTGCACAATCACGCCCTACAAGCATGCAACGTATAGTATGACAATACTTACACACCCAAAAACTGCCCCTCCTTTTTTTTTTAACTACAAAGCAAAAGAGCAAAGTAGTAGTAAAATTAAAATTGACCAAAAAAGGTAACGTAAGAAAAAAAAACAGAACATATTACATCCTACACCCCGTCTCGGAACCACACACAATCTGCGCCTGCGGCGGCTGGTCCTTCCGCAAAACACTGTATGGCGGGGACTCTGCGCCCTCTGTACTGCGCATGCCGGCGAAGCGCGATCCAGCCGTGGACCGCGCGAGCATCCGCGCCATCTTCACCTCCCCAGCCTATGCGCGCCGCGGCCTCGGCACAATGATGATGCGGCACTGCGAGCGCGCGGCTTCACAAGGGCAGCCCGGCGAAACGGCCGGGTTCTCGCGCTTGGAAATGGGGGCCACGCTCAGCGGCGTTGCGCTGTATGAGCGCTGCGGCTATATTAGGAGTGGGCGCGAGGATGTCGTCGCGTGTCCGAATGGCGAGGGGATTCGCATTTTGCACATGACCAAGGATCTGGAGGGTCATGATACGCCGTGAAAGAGAAGGGGGGGGGGGGGGGGNNGGGGGTTAGAGAGAATGCGGTTAAAGGTCTGGTTGTGGAGATTTGAGGAAGGAATACTACTGTGTAAGGAAAAGGGTGAATGCAGCGCGCGGTTAGGCGTGCGACCTTGGGACCTTTTTTGCGACCGACCGTTTTTTTTTCTTCTCTTCGCGCCCGAGTGATCGAGATAAGCGGGTTTTTTCGGTTTTTTCGGTATTCTCGGGCGCCAGCATGCGCGCGCGTGCAAAACGGACCCTTTTGAGCGCAAACGGTTACTAGACGTTTTTGCTTCTTCCTTCTAAGAACTACTCCCAAGTAACTAGATTTCTATCCTTCATCGTTCCTTTCCCTTCCCTTACCCTCTTCCTTCTTGCCCCCCTCCCCCCCTTTCTTTGCCCTCTTCTTGCTCGTTGTAGCGAAATGACGCAGGGCACTTTGATGCGTTGGCACAAAGGTAATGTTTTGAGTGAGACTTGGGGGGGTGAGGGGGATAACGCAAAAGCGTTAGTGGGGATGATGGGGGCCTCGCGGTAAGGCACCCGATGAGGGAAGAAAAGGTGCAAACCGCATTGTTTGGTGGCGCGCCCGCCCGACGATGCCCGGAATCTTGATTAGAGATGGAATGTCGTGCTTCTTGCGGTTCCAATTGGCTCTCCTCCCCATTCCCCCGTCGTTCAACTGAGGACAAGCACCGAGAGATGGTAAGGATATATTTGTAGGGGGGGCCCTGCATGTTTTCGTCATATTGTTTGGGACTTCACCGTCTTTTTCCCTTCCTTTTCCAGAGATACTTTAAAAGATACTCTTGTGGCTGCTTTTTTCGTGTTTCTGAAGATACCGCTTCCTTTGTCTCTTTTGCTGTGTACGGAAATTCAGTCGTTCAGAGTACAGGCTCTACAAGAGATTCATTCATCAATCATCACCAACATGTCTGACCCAAAAGCCGCCGCGTTATCTACTGCTGTTGTCATCATCACCGTGCCCTCGGGCTAGCACACCAGCTACATGGAAGAGGTTCGGGCAGTTGTATGTGATGGCGAAGATGGTACCGTTTTGCAGGGCGTAGTCCCTCTGGAAGAAGAAGGATCTTGAAGGAGTGAGGTGTAAGACTTCAGCCGCAGTAGCGCCGATGGATCACAACAAACACATCCGGCGCCCATCGGGCAGGGGTCTGTGGGCATGAAGTACTATCCCGCATTTTATATACTATGGTATTCCGGATAGTAACTTTTGGTACAAGCCACTACCAGTCTTGGGTGTGTGGGGAGCGGAGACTTGAATGGAACATCGACAATATTGGCAAAAGCGTAGTTATCGAGCGTGGTGAAAAGATAAGATCAAATGTCGGTCTAGTTGTGTGGGATTGTTGAAAGACATTGTAAAAGAAAGACGGAGTGCAGGGTTAATGAAAATGAGGGAGGGGGGTTGAGAAGGAATTGTGCGTATACGACAACAGTCATGGCGCGTTGATGGCTTTGAGGAAGAGCGGGAAAGACATCACATGGCCAATCGAAACGCAAAGAGGGCACCTCATTCCTGCTAAGGGGGAAATGTATGGGAAGTTCAAAGTACAAGACCGGACCAAGATCAAAGTCCTGGACTCATTCAAGTTGAAGAAAGGAATTCGCTGCCATCGCCATCAATAGCCTGCTCTTATTCCACAGTCCGGATATCATGATAGAAGCAATTGAATAAAACAAAACGCCTTCTTGCTGAACCGCGAGTCCCTATCATCCCTCCGTCCAACCAGGAAGAGTGATATCAAACGCTGTCATGGTGTTGTGCTGTGAAGCCCATGAGCCGAGAAACTCGATGAGATTGACGATCCCATCGATGAGTTATACCAGGATGTAAAGGGAAGTGCTTTCAGGGTGGAAAGAAGATGATGGTACAATGCGAATGCCTAACGCAAGACGAGGGGGTACACCAACCTTGTTGAAATTTCTGGAGTCCAGTGGATATGGTGCAGAGCATTCGCTCTTGAAAGTCCTATGAAGGGGAAACAAAGCTGGAAACAGGTCAGTTGTTGATAGTTGTCGTGACTAGTGCTCACATTGGTGGGTAGAGACGAACCAATCCGATGCGTAACCAGAACTTTGATCAAGACAAAAGAGAGCCTGCGGATCGTGACTTGGGGGAGTCAAAGGTAAATGCAGATCATAGCAGCAGATCAACATATTTTGGAAGATCCCCAAATGGTCAGGATTCCAGGAGGGCGTCCATCTCTTTCTCTAGCTCTTTGCTCCAGAGGTACTCATGGTCGGGCTCAATGTCGGGGTCGACAGGGAGGTAGACATCCTCCATAGTCGGGATCTGGCAGACCTGATCCATGGGGTACTGCTCAATGACAGGGAGTTGGCTCCATGTGAGACCTGGAGGACCTGGCTCGCGTGGTAGGGGGAGGAAGCGGCCAACGCCTGTCTTGGCCCTATCGTCACCCTCCCACCTCATCTCAGAGTAGGAAGGCCAGGGCGCAACCTCTTCCTTTCCATTCTGCCAATCCTTGCACCATATCGTCTGCTCTCCAAGGGCACGACCGGAGTTGCCAACTTCGTCAAAGTTGCCGTTGAGGCCGCAACGACGCAAAAAGGCCTGAGTAGCTGGAGAAATGGCTGAAGAATAGTCTCCAGCTTCTTCCTTCGCCTTGGCTTGATGTGTGAGCTTGTTGGCTTCTGATGCAGCCATTGCTTCGCGATGTGCGACATAGTCGCCGAACTTCCACTTGGCTACATCTGAGTTCTTAAACTGACGGCGCATCGAGTTGCGAACCGTGAGAAAGTCTTGGTGCATCTGAGCATCGGGACCCAGTGGTGGGTTGGGGTTGCGGAAACCTGTAGAACCACCTCTCCCGGCGTTCGCAGCGCCTTGTCGGTGATGACTATAAAAGCCACGTCCAGGGGGACCGTGTCTGTTAACGTTGGGATACCTTGGACCACGCGGGACAGGATGGTTGTGGCCCTTTCCACTGCGTTGATGAGAGCGGGGATGTTCATCTGCCATACTCAGCCCCTCCAAGTTGAAACTCCCTAGGCTTCCAGAACCGCTCAGAGTTGCCTCATCATCTAGGTTGGAGTAGTCATCACAAGCCTCGTTGTCACGAAGGGTGTCACCGCTTCCCGTGTACGGCGGTGATGTCACCTGGGGTTTGTTGATATCGAACTGTAAATGCTTTTCGGTTTTGCCTGGCCTCTCGCCCTTGACAGGATGGATAGAGTCTGCCATTGGATAGAAGTTTGCAAGCTTAGACGTCGCTAGGGACACAATTCTCTCAAAGGAACTTTCCAATATCGCCAAACTTTGCACAACTGTTGTTGAACAATGTAAGAGTTGAGTGTGTTGGGAAAGAAGAGAAGTCGCAGGCCAATCTGTGGTATTCAAATACCCTCACGAACTAAAGAAAGTGAATACTTTGGCGGTGAGGTAATTTCAGAATACAGTATGCGCACTGTAATTGTTCCCGTGGGTGATTAGCTTTCATTCACTTACTTTACAGTGAAACTATAGCGAATGCTTCACCGCCTGGCAAGTTGTAGGTGATGTGAGCATGCTGCCCAAACATGTGATGTATACTTCAGCAGCGGAAAAGACACTCCCCCAACGCTCAAACGCACTAATGGGAATTGAAGTGAGTTGTCACCGCCTTCGGTCATTGGGGGAGAGCCATGATGGGTTGCAATGTCATTTCTGTCACGTACCTGAGAGTCCGGATCCTACAAAAGTAGGGAATTTCCTGGATGTAGAAGAGGATGAGTGGATGCTCGTATGCTTGTGAGATTGATTGCTGCCTGATGTCAACCACTGTTTTCACTGGGTTTACCCAGCAAGAACTGCGGGGGATGAGTCAAAGATACACCGTGTGTTTGTATGGATTTGGAGTATAGTATTTCCAGCAGCAGCCTGTGGCAGCGGTCAAAAGATTAGAATATGAATATTTCTGTTTGATGAGCGGTGTATCTAGCGGTGCGCATGTGGGCGTTGAGAGCGACGCGGGTGATGAGAGCGGTGGCCTTACGACGGCGCAGTCAGTAAGGAGATTGGCGTTGATGATGACTAGCGAAACTGAATGAGAGTCAATGAGATCTTCTGGAGCATCCAAAAGACTCAAATTTTGAGGTTTGTCGATTATGTCTTGACGACTGGCAAACAGGAGGCGTGAATGAGACTGAAGGCGAGTATCAAGTGGTAAGAAAAAGCGATGTCGTCACCACAGAGCGTGCGGTCTGTAAGAGCAGGCAACGAAATTGGTGATCTGAGTGCTGTAGAATACACCGGAAATACGCCAATTTGCAAATTTTCAATCTGCGTTCACCTCACTGCCTCTCACTGCTCACCTTTCACATTGCATGACGAGTCGGGAGAATGGAAAAAGAACGGCAGGTAGCGACCAGCGCTATAGACTAGGATAACCAATAGAGTGAGACTGGTGAGTACTGACAGGAACTAGAACGTGTTTGGACAGTGGATAGTGAGGAACTGAAGGAAAAAATGGCAGAGAAGCGATAGGATGCATTGTTATGTGTCACTGAGAGCATGGATATGGTGAGTGGGTGAACAGACAGTGCAGCCGCAACCGGGTGAATGCCTGAGCTGAAACAAGAAGCGACTTTGCATCATGTGTCCTTGACGATGGCTACTTCGTGAATCTATTATGAAATATGAATGCCTTCTAAGGCACTTGAGTGTGCCCAAGAGGGGTGGATGTTGGGATTTCCGCTGAGCTATCTCGAAGTTTTGAAGCAGAATTGCGAGAAGATAGGGAGACCACTTATCATCGACGAGGCTCAGAATGTGCTTGGGAAAGCTGACGATTTTTTCTCTTTCACGCATCATACTGAGGATGGAGGCGTGGTGCCTGATACTCTAACTTTGAGCAAGACGATGGGGAACGGTCTGCCACTCAGTTATGTCCTGACGTCGAACAAGATCGCCAGGCATGCTGAAGAGAATGGTTTTCTGCTCTACAATACGCATATCAACTATCCGTGTCCTGCAGCTGTCAACGATAACGTGTTTGGAAAAGTGATTAGAGAGGATCTCTGTGTTCGGTGCAAGCGGCTCGGTGTCAAACTTCCAGCCGGACTCAAAAAGTTCCAATCTCGCTACGGGTGTATTGGAGATAATCTTGATCGCGGTCTCACAACTGGTGTGGAGATTGTGAGTGATGGGAATACGAAGGCTGGTGTAAAAAGTATACACTATTGTAAGATTGCTCGTAGAGCTCTCAGTGAGATGCTACCCACCTACTATTTGCGCTGAGCTATATTGGGAAAGCACCACCACACTAGCGGTGCCTCCAGTAACACTGAAGGCTGCACCTTCTTACAGTTAGGACTCCTGATTTCAGAGCTGCTGTGTAGCAAAAGATAGAGAAAATGGGTTTGTGAGCGCAGTTAGCGACAATAGCGTCGCTTGGTGGTGTTTTCAGAATTGCACACCCGATTACTGTTATGGAAGAGGAGTTGGATGTTGCATTGGGAATCATTGAGGAGGCGCTGAGGATGACTCCTGGTACGATGCCGTTGTATGTAATAGATGAGGCAGCGATAGATGGCCAGCCTATTGTGAAGTCAAACATCTAAATTTGGTACTGCGGAGTTTCATATTGCGAGTATTGAAGTTTGTTTATTTTTATCATTAGAAGGACACCGGAGAGAATGCTCGTAGTAGACGTCATCATGCGTCAAGACCATCACAATTCACTTAGAGGCAAAAATGAAAAGACGCGTTGTGAGCAATGACAAGATTTTGACATTGTTAAGCTATAGACAAATCGGGTTGACAAAGATAGTATATACAGAAAAGAATCCACCAGCTCAGCTAGCACAGCACGTAACCAAAAACCACGCCTGTCATCTTCCAGTCGTTGAGAGAGCCATCAGGGCCATTCGTTTAATCTTCGTGGTGAAGAATTTATGGGCAGTTGACGGTGATCTGGGCGTTACCAGTGGAGAAGTAACCCTCGGTGGCAACAATCTGGTAGTAGTGCTGGCCAAGGTTCATGCCCTTGCTGGCCCAGGCGTCAAAGTGAGTCTTCATGTTGACGGAGCCGGAAGAGCGCTTGTTCTGACGAACAGACCAATACTGCTGAAAGGTCCTGGTGCCATCGATGGAGGGCTGGTTGGTACGGGTCGACTGAGCGATCTTGTAGGAAGATCCATCAGAGGTGACGGTACCCTTGTTCTGGGACTGGGAAGAGGGGTCGTAGGTGCCGAAGTTCTCAACGACGTAGTACTCGACAAGGGGGTTGCGGGTCCAGCCGTAGACGGCAAGGTAGGAGTTGCCGTTGTAGTTGTAAGTACCAGAGTAGGTGATGGTACTGTATCAATGTTAGTGTATGTAGTCTATCAGAGTTGAGTAAGACGGTCCATACCGGGCAGTTCCTGGGTTCCATCCCTTTCCACCGACGAGGTTGCCACCGCTTCCCCAGCTTACGCTGTAGCTACCACCGGCACCGTTGGTGTAGGTAGCGCGGGCACCGCCATCAGACCACCAAGACCAGAAGCAGCCGTTGTGGGTACCCTCGCCGTTGGGGGTGTTCTGACGGGCAACGAGAGACACATCAGTGGCGGGGGCGGCAAGAGCGCCGGTAGCCGCAACAGCAGCGGTGATGATGGAGGTGAAAGAAACCATTTTGATGGTGTTGTTGTTGAGTGAATGAAGCGAAGGGAAGTGGTAGTTGTGGTGATGGTTGGTGAGGAAAGTGTGCCATGGAGCCGACTCAGGATAGCTTTATACTCGCCCTCGCATGGCATGTGAGTGGAAACAAGACCGGATGTTGTGCACAGCCAAGCCAAACATCCTCGTCATGATAGCGGTATTCCATCTGCTAGAGTAATATCAGCTAGGGTGTAGATCGAGAAGCAGGCAGGGCGGAAAGTAGGCAGTAATCTGTTTGACTTGGCGTTTTCGTCAAGAAAGCGCTCTGGAGGAGCTGGCTTGAGCCAATGGGAGGGGAGACGTGACCAAAAGTTTTGTATTTTGAGAAAAAAGGGCAATGATGGTTGGCTCTAGAGATGAAACGGTATGGGTGGGGCAAGGCTGTGAAGTCATTTACTTAGAGGCTGCAATCTGCTCCGTCCGGACATGTGGCTCCCAAAAGGAATCGCGCTACAGCAGCGGCGGAGACGAGCCTCTCCACTCTCCACTCAAGCCTCCCACTGTTCCGCATGCATATGCCAAGCTTTCCACTTTTAATCTTTGCCCACGGTTAAACAATCGCTTGGCAGGAGTCGCGAATCCAACAGCCGTGAGCTTGTTTAATCAAACTGAAGCCGTGGAACACGTGTGGCGCTTGGGCGTGGCGAAGATGGTGCGTAGAGCTGACCAGTCGTTCCTGGCCCTGGGTCTATTATCGACTATGGCATACAGGTTGAAAGGGCGCTGTGTAACGGGTGTACCTTGGTGCCCAGACGGTGGAAGGCGTAGTTGGTGATGAGAAGGGGCGAAGATCTGCGGCGAAGGCGTCCAACTCCCCGATGAAACCCGCAAATTTGCCGGACCCACGTGTCATGCGCTCTGACTTCTCCTCGTGCAAACGCATCTGTTCTAGACCAAGACCAGAAGGCCAGCAAAGGAAACATCAATCCTTCGGGAAAAAAAGAAAACATTCTGGATGACGGGATACTCCACCGTTGACCATGGGGAGGTCTCCACGCCGCGCCGAGCCAGGCGGGGGCCCGGGTTTCATCAACAGTGCCGCCAGAACCAGGCAATCGTCACGCAACAGCCGCACATCCGAGAAATGCCTGTATCCTTAACCAGACCCAGAGGCAATATAGCCAGGCTGCGTGTAAATGATTTTCTTTGTTGTTGTGCGCTGGCGCATCAAAGCCATGACAAACATACGCATATCAGGTCATGCACACAGCCGCTACATTTGCTTCTGCCGGCTCGACAAGCTACACTAGCCTTATAGGCATGCCGCTTGCCGACATAATACGGAGAATTATATACTTACGCATACGCCTCCATCGTACTAGTGATCTGGGGAACTTTAGCCCCACGAATCACCATTTAACCACAGTTATTATGCAAACCAACTTTACAAATCGCCTCTACTAGCCTTTTACTAGCACAATAGGCGCCTGCACCCCGGATTTGAGGGGTACATATGCATGGAATTACCTCCTCGGGTGCCGAGTGTCTTGGTACTGCACAAGATGTCTTGTCCAGGCTTGTCCCGGTGGAAGAAGTGGTGTTGTGTGGAGCTTGATTCAACCGTTGTTTTATGAAGGCTAAGGCCGTGTACGAAGGACTGTGCGGTGAATGAAACATTAACTTTGAAGGGCTCAGAATAAGCTCAGAATATACGCAGAGCTGATATTGCCTAGTATCGAGGTTGCGCCGTACGCCTAAAGGCCCCTTTACGATGCAGCAGGCAATATCAAGTTTTTTACATGTCGCTGTCGTAATCAGCCGGTTGGGTTGGGCCAGCAAGCAGCCGTACAGCTCTGCGTAATGTGCGTTGGAAGTATCGGTGACGAGTTTGGTTTTGCGAAAATTTCACCGAGTACTGTATGTGTCTGGTCGGTTTTGTGCAACTACTTCAAAGATCTGAGAGGTTGAGAAACGTCAGCTCTGTCTGTTTCCAAAGTATCTTGATATCAACTCCATTTCTACCATGGAATCCTCAACAGTATCAAACGCCTGTCAAGAATCTGCAGAGAGACGAAACATAGCAGTAACAACGAGAGAGGAACCTTCGTAACGAGAGCACAAGATGGTGTCTTTCGAACCAAGACATGTTGCTCACCGACGACAGTGTTTAAACACATGTCTAAACACTGTCTCACCACAACCTCACGATATGTAACCACACTCTCCAGATACATTGTGAGAAAACTTCACAGCACAAAGATTATATACACAGAATAGAACCTATACACACAGAGCACCTTCACAATGCGATCCTCACGACCATATATACGATTATCTCTAACCACGGTCCTAGAATCATTCAAACGATCAGAAACAACACAACCAACAACCAGATAAAAGATCCAATCCCCTTACATATCCAACACTAAAACCTCGAACTCTCAACCAAATACCGAAAATGTGCCAGTATAACTTTGTCCACTACACAGCTTGCGACCACACGGTCGCGGATGGGGAAATTCCCATCCAGCGCTGCAAGCCAAAGCAGCGCACGTTGTGGCAGAAGTCGTGCGACTCGGCCGAGTCGGTGACTATTACACAGTGCGGGCTGTGCGAAGAGTGTGAGAAGAAGCTAGAGGGAAAGCTTCTAAAGCTGGAGAAGCTCCAGAACAAGGAGCTGCGCGCGGAGCAGAAGGCGAAGAAGAAGAAGAAGCAGGGGTAAGCTGGAACGGGGATAAGCTACGCTAGACTTTGTGAGCTTAGATAGGGGAGACAGGTAAGTTTGATGGGGCTAGCTTGGGGGTATGGGATTTGGAGTTCAGGAATACAGACTGTTTTGGATTTTTTTTTCTTTATTAGACATGGGAAGGGGTGTCATCAGAACAACCAGGCCAGGAGTTCTGCACTGCTTATTGATTCACACATAGAGTAGACTCAGAGATAGACATAGACCCCCACCACTCAAGGTGAAGAAATAAAAACAATCATTGATACAAAGCGAGGGTATATAGCATTGCATGCTGTGATGCTTTCCAGTGATGAAAAAGAAGAAGAGAAACAGAAAAAAAAGGAAAAATATAGTATCCAAACTCCACGCTAACAATAGGTCATGATTCCAGTCATAAACATCATGAGTCCATACTTCTCCTTCACCTTACCAAATGAAAAAGAAAAGAACCCGAAAGAGAGAAAAAAGGCGGTTTTCCCGTTCTAAAAACCTTTCAACGCGCATGAACTAATGCACAGAAATCTTTCTTGCTCTAGCAGCCTGCAAAAAGGCACCATAACTCCAAGTCAAATGCTGAGCACCACGCATGTATCCAGTCACACGATCAAACTGCTCACTCATGCTGCCCTCGGCATCCACATGCGTCTTAATGACTTGCAGAAACTCGTCGCCGGTGCTCTGAAGGCGCTCGATGACGGAGTGGAAGAGGGCGTCTGTGGGGCCAAACGTGCCTACGTCGACATCTAGAGAGGAGCTACCGAGGAGAGACTCGTAAAAGGGAAGACCAACATCAGTAATAGTCAAGTTGCCGGTGGCAGAAATGTGCGAGGCGGTGCGGTACAGAATCTCTGCGGCTGAAGAGGTGCACAGGAACCATGGGTTTCCACCACGGTTCGAGTTTCCATAGCCGTCGTATACATCTTCGGGATAGCGGCCAAGGCCCGTTCCCTCGAATGTGAACTCATCTACATTGTCATCATCGTCATCCTGGTCAGAAGGATTGCTGTTGATGGGGAACCGGTCGCGCTGATCCCGAGTCAAAGCAAGCAGAGAAACAAGAATCTCATCGGACCACGGAGGATACACGACATCATCTTCCGATCCGCTCTTGGGAAGGGCGTGCAAAGAGCCGAGAAGCAGTCCGCAGTCGAGGCCACTCCTCTTGCTCCATAGCGTCTCAACAAGATGTCCTTTTTGCGCATTCCAGAATTTGCCCAACAGATTCTCAATGTAGCCAGCTTGCTTTTGGTACCAGTCAGCCGCACCAAAGTCTCCAAAGGTTCTGGCAAGGTGACTACCTTCCTTCAGACTCCTTGCGCTGACCATGAGGGTGAAGAAGTGCAGGCCCTCAACCTCCTCCCAGAGATCGAATCCCGACTGGTTCCAGAAATGGCTGACATACTCGAGATCTGCTTTGATAATGCTACGAGGAGGCATTTCAGCGGTGTAGAATGAGCCGAAAAAGTCTTCGGAGTCGGGGGAGCTCCATAGTGAGGGATGCGATGCGTTGTACTCGCGGAGGTAATGCATGAGCGTCAGTGCGCGAAGGGCCGGCCCATCGCGCTGAGGTCGTCCCCACGAGCCGGTGAACGGCTTGCCATCGACTTGGAACTTGGGCTCACCTAGTCCGGAAAGGTCGTCGAATGTGCCAGACGGGTTTGAGGTGCGCTGAATGTCACCTTGGAGGGAGGTGTATGCGTCTAGGATGGTGGATAGAGAAGCCGCGCGCGAGGACGAAGTGTCGTCGGCATAGATGTTGACGAGGGTATCCATGGTGATAGCAGCGTCACGGACCCCTGTGACGAGGTTAGTACCAAATGATTGCGGGATGACGTCTTAGAGATACTCACATTGGAACCAGTAGTCCGGACCGTCTTGACTGGGACTGGCGATGACGGTGCCCTCGGCCACACCTTTCCCTTGGACATTGCTACCTCCAGGCGCAACGTTGGCGAGCAGTTTGTTCAGTGCAATGTGCTCTTCATGCTTTATCCAGGCATCAAGTGTGTCTTGAAGCGGTTGCTGTTGCTGCACACGGCTGGAAGCAGCAAAAGTGGCTAGGGAGGGAAGACGAGGTATCGATAATGTGTAGGCATGGTGAACAAAGCCTGTGAGGAGGAGCACGCGAGGAAGCATGATGAGCGCCGGGGAATGTCGACCAGGGTGTGGATGGCTGGATGGCTGGCTTGAGACAAAAAAGAAGCTTAGGTCTGCTGGCAGCTCATATGTGAGCCTTCAGAGTCGAAGATGACGAGGAAGAGAAGCGCGATGTCATAAAGACTAGGCGGTAGCACGCGAAGTTGGGCATAAAGAGAGCCGTCGAAGCCCGTAGGCCATAGACGCCTTCCGTGCGCGCGCCATGCCCCGGACCGGCGACTATGACCGTGTGGATGATGACTGTGGGCCCTCGTGCCAGTGTTAGTGGGCGGCGTGGACGAGTAGGAGGCGGTGGACGAGGTCGCGCGGACAGTTGCTCGTCCCGATCCAGCTGGCGGATGATGGTGAAAGGACCACGCGAGTCACGGCTAGCAACGTCACGCGACCCGCCCTCGTGGATCTGGGGTAGGCGGTAGGCGGTAGGCAATGCAAGGCACTCAGAGGCTCGGCCTACGACACACCAGGGTCATGACAGCGCACCACGAAGGATTTTGCCCATGGGCCGAGGCAGCGAGAAATGGCGCTTTCTTTTGCACCTGAAAGAAGGAATGTACATAGCAGATAGCCTGGTTGCTACCAAAAAAGCCCCATAGCTCGTCCCCGGAATGTACACGCCAAGATGGCTCCCCCATGTCTGGCCCCGAGCGGCTCTCGGGAATCAGGATGCAGGGCGTTTTGGCCGAAGGTACTAGCAGCAGACATATCCCACAAGTAGTACATGTACCTGATACATACATACATGTGATAATATGCGACATGGCATATGTGCCGAAGGCTAGAACCTTCCGGCATGCTCCGAGGTCCGGGTGGGTGAGGACTGCAAGGCGTGAGGGGTACATGGTGTCGGCTACTTGCATGTAACCGCCGCCCAATGACCATCGGCTATTCCCAATACATGCCGCAAAGTCAACATCATGGACGTATGTACGCATACACATCCATCTCAGACTGGCTGAGAGACACCAAAACAGTCGACTCTGAAACTGTCCCTTGGCCATTGGCCCTGCATACGATGACTGTTTGATCCGGTGAGTTTCCACATCTCACCTTGTCTAATCAGCCAGCCAATCATTCCATGCCGCGTACTTGAAGACGCACGTTTGTCATTCACCTCCATTCAACATGCCATTGCACAAAACGCACTCCCTGCGCAGTAACCTGCGTATGCTGCACAGCTCCGGGTACCGGATATGCCAAGCCTCCTTTTCCACGACAGCTAGACGCACCAACTACGACGCTACAATCCAGAACCTCAAGATTGGCTCTCACACCCGCGTCATCTTCCAGGGATTCACCGGGAAACAGGCTACAGCCAATGCAAAGGAGTCGATAGAATGGGGGACAAATGTAGTCGGCGGCGTCAAGCCCAATGGCTCGGGAGAGCATCTGGGACTGCCTGTTCTGCCCTCTGTGAGAGCAGCAATGGAGCAGCTGAAGCCTGATGCAACTGGAATCTATGTTGCAGCCCACCAGGCTACTGCTGCAATTGAGGAAGCAATCGAAGCAGAGGTGCCGCTTATCGTCGCAGTGGCTGAGCACATACCATTGCATGATATTATGAGAGTGAGTCAACAGGCTCTGAACAACATATCAGAGACACCGAGCTGACGCGGCAGTAAGATCCATTCCATGCTGCAATCCCAGTCAAAGTCACGGCTTGTAGGTGCCAATGCCCCGGGAATCATCTCAGCTGTTGGGAAGTGTAGGATTGGCTTCCAGCCACTACCGACATTTTCACCTGGTCACATTGGTGTTGTGGCAAAATCCGGCACTCTCTCTTATGAGACTGTGGCATCCCTGACAAGAGCCGGGCTCGGACAGAGTTTATGCATTGCAGTCGGCGGAGACGTGATTGCAGGCACAAACTTTGTGGATGCTCTCAAGGTCTTTGAGCATGATGATGACACCGAGGCTATCATTATTGTAGGTGAACTCGGTGGTACAACCGAAGAAGAGGCGGCGGATTGGATCATAGATTACAGAAAGCGCGTAAAAAATCCCAAACCCATTGCTGCTGTCATTGGAGGTTTTCAGGCACCACATGGCAAGGTCATGGGCCATGCTGGGGCTTGGGTTGGCCTTGGAGAAGGCACCGCAGAGGCAAAATACAAGGCACTGGAGAGTGCTGGAGTGACCATGGTTGATCATCCTGCGAAGTTTGGCGGGGTGATGAAAAGCATTCTTGCAAAGTCTGGTCGTAATGTTGGGAAGATTGTAGGTTCACAATTGTCAAAGCACCCTCCATTATATTCTGACTTGTTACAGGAACAATCAGCAGCCCAGCAACGCCGCTCATATCATACATCTCCAAAGCGGCCTATCACAAACTTCTCCAAAACCGATGCTTCATTTACACAAAAGCGCTCCCTCCACCTCTCAAAAGAACAGTCCACAGCCCTCCTCAAATCCTTCAATATCAACCTCACCATACCCCCAGAAGGCTCCCCATCAACCCACTACCTAGGCATTTCTCCCGACCGCTCTAATCGCTCCCCCTCCATCATCGCCGCCCCAACAGCCAACCCCTCCAAACTCACCCACCGCATCCGTCGTTTCCCTTTCGACTACCGCACCGGGCCCACTCCATCTGCCATTGCCGCCGCAACAGCCCACATGCAACTCTCAGCCTTGCCACCAAAATCCAAATCCCAACTCGTCCAAGCCATCCACAACCTCTGGAACCTCTACACCTCCAAAGAAGCCATAGACGCCCACATCAAACTCGCCCTATCCGTTGACTCCGACGACCTCCTCTTCTACGACCCCTACCTCTTCTTCGACGACGCAGCCTTCAAATCCGGAAAACGCCACTCCGACCTCCACGCTCTGCGCGATCAGACTGCAATAAGCGCTGCAGACCGCGAGGCAGAAGAAGCAGGAATCGTCTACATTCCTCTTGATTCTCCCACAGCTAGTTCCGAGTCCAGTCCTAAACATCTAGTCGGCACCCTAGTCAACGGCGCAGGCCTCGCCCTCAACGTCCTCGATACCCTCGCCCTGCGCCTCTTACCCACCACGTCCGCTGCCAACTTCCTCGATACAGGCGGCAAAGCTACATCTGCAACTATTAAAACAAGTTTCAAGCTTCTCCTGTCTGATCCGCGCGTCAGCGTCATCTTCGTGAATATTTTCGGGGGTCTCACGCTCTGCGATATGATTGCTGAGGGCATCATACTCGCGTTTCGGCATGTGGGCGTCGAGAAACCGGTCGTGGTGCGGTTGAGGGGCACGAATGAGGAGAAAGGACAAAAAGTGCTCGAGGAGGCCAAACTGCCGATTTATGTTTTTGATGATTATGAGGAGGCGGTGCAGAAGGTGGGGGAGTTGGTTGGTAAGGCTGTGAATGTATAGAGAAAGAAAAGAGAGAAGGGAAGATGAGATTAAAATGATTAGATTCGTCGCAGTCACACACACACACACGCACACTCTCTCCTACGTCCCGTTTTCCCTATCAGTCCCATTGCGAATAAAACATTGTGCCGCTGCGTACAGAGATCTCCCCTCCCCTTCCGCACCCCACCCCCGCCATGGCCCTGTTTCTACGCAAAAAAGCAGGGGGACGACGACATAACGTAACAAATAAAAACACCAAATTCACAAAAATCCTCTCGCATACGCCATGGAAGCTCAGAAAAAAAAGTGTGTGGTACATCGGAGTATGAAAAATATAAGAGGTATCTCCAAGGCCGGAAGAAGGTGGGGGAAGAAGAGGGAGGAAGGAGGGGGGGAGGGGACATTCCAAACGATGGATCGAAAAAACCAAAGTAACCCAAAACATATCGCAGGAATTCGTTTGACAGTAAGATAAAAAAAAAAGAAGATGACCGGAGGGAATATAACAATGACACTATACAAAGTATTGGAATGCGGTTCTGTCAAAAAAAGTTAGTTATGTGCGCTCTAATGGTTGGTTCCAAGGATGGACAAAAAAACTTACCCAATCGCTGCCATGACTCCCAGACCAACAAGTGCCCTCCGTGTCACTTTTTCCTTTGTCATCTTTTGCTCCGTCGTGTACGCCTTTTTGGCGAGCTTGTTGAGGCGCTCATCGGCCAAATCTTCCTCGTCCAACACCTCTTCGATTCCGCGCTTCGACGACCGCGTGACCGATGGCGAGCCGCCCTCAAGTTTCTGTGCTTCTGCAACCATGCGCTTGGCCTCCTCGATCATGGCTGTTGGGTCTTCAGGCTCGGGGAGTGCGGCGTGGTCGTGTGGCACGTCAACTGTGACGCTGGTGCTGGTCTTTTCTGTGTCGCCATTTGTCTCAACGGTTTGCTTCACTTCAATGTGAACTGTGCCCTCCTGGACCTCGAGCTCCGGCTCTGGCTTCTTTGCAGCATCCAGCGCCTCCTCGACTTCTTGCTCCACCTCCTTCACCTCGCCCTCGATCGATGACGCAATCGACTCGGCAGGCGCTACGCGCCTGGCAATGCTGTTTTGGAGCGCAGTTGACGGGGTGACGGCCTCAATAGGCTTGAACATGTCATCTGCGTGGGTGGCCTCTGGCTTCATAGCACTTCTTGTCGACCGGCCCTTTCGCGGGGTCGCATACTTGCGGCCTGGGGTCATGGCCTTGCTGGGTGAGACTGATCGGGCCGAGCGCGCGCGAGTTTGGCGGAAGCCAAATGTAGGAAGAGTAGCGGGCTGGGCGTTTGCAACATCGAATTTGGGGGGCATTTGGATGGGGGTGTTTGATTTATCCTTGCCGCCCTTTTCGATGGGCGCGGGGTCGAGGAGCGCCTCTATCCAGTGGCGCATCGAGTACTCCTCGGACAAGGCCAGAGCTAAGCGAACCGTGTCAGATGTCCATCATTTGCAGATTGAGAGATTTTTTTATATTCAAAGAAAAAAACTTACCCTCCTCTGGCGCAATCCAAACGCTTCCAGCTACCTCCTCGTCGCCGGCTGATGGGAATGTCTTCTGGTACTTGCGTTCAAGATCCTCTTCCTGGAGCGAAGCCCAGGGGAACGCAGCCTTGAACATTCCCGTCGCACTGATGTAGCCGTCGCTGCTGCGTCGCTGTTTGTCGCGTTAGTCGTCGACTGCGCTCAGGGCAATGCGCTTGCTGATTGTTTTGCATGGCGTACCATCAAGAAATATGACTCTGGGAAAGCGGACATGCGGTTTCGCGAAAAGATGCCAGATCCCGTAAGGTCCTTTGGCAGCGGAACCCTCAGGTGCGCGTAGTCGAAAGTGCCCATGTTTTCGAGCTTTGTCGCGTTGGTAATACCTGAGACGCCAGCCTTGACACCCAAGTTTGTTTGCCCGAGGCGACGTCGTTCAATGAGAATCTCGACTGGGCGATCTTGTCAGTCGCGTTGCTAGATGGAGGAGATGGGAAGCGACGCGATGCGCGACGTGTACGTACTAGCCGTCGAGTCGGTGGGCTCAAGGAGCGGGTTCTTCCTTTCGGGGAGGACGCGATCAACAACCATTTTGGCGACGTCTGAGGAGTTGTCGTGGAAGAGGATATTACAATGGATGTATGGGAGGTGCTGCGCGCAGCGCGTGGGGTATCGCGAAAAGATTGCGAGGAAATAAGAGTGCGTGTTGCGCGTGCGATCGACGTGATGATGAAAGAGTGCGTGGTTGCGACAGAGGCGAACAGACAGACAGGCAGGAGCGATGGGGGTGCTATCCCTGTGCACTAGCGCCGCCCACGCCCAGTCCAGCCGCCCCCGGGCATTGTCGTCGCGCTCATCAGTCAGCCTTTGGCAGCGGCCTTATTATTACGTCCTTTTAGAATGCTTCTTCTAGAGCATTACTATATTAGTGCTGCTGCCGATTGGCCCTCGAGCCATTTCTTCTGCCCATTGCAGGCCCGATGGAGCGTCGTGCAGATTGCAGGCGCTGCTTTGAGAAGAGAGCCACTAGATCACGCGTTTGTCCTGTCGTGACGCGCTATGTACATATCCATACACAAACACACAAACATGCCTACGGACAATGAACGTACACTATCAAGCTCCCTTTGTCTGCCCCAGGCCGCCAACACTTGCGCCACCCACCAGCAGCCTGACATACACGTCCAAACATGACGGCGCCTCGCACGGTATCAGATCTGCCACCCTAGCTCTCCAGATATACGACAGCATCTAAGTACCTAGCTATGTACTTGCACATACTTGTTAATGCATCTGGCCAGCCACCCATGGACCTGGCAATGTCAGCATTCAACAGGCCACTGCTCTGTCCCAGCATCAGCCCGGTATCGCTCGGCAAAGCTGAAGCAAAGAGCAACAATGCGAAGCAGCCATGAACATAAGCAGTCATCTGAAGCGAGCGATCCCCATGACCTGCAGGGCATAATCCCCATCGCATCCAGACAATATCTCCGAATCTGTAGCCAGAGACTGTCTGCGACCAACTGCGCTAAACACGTCACCCTGGCGTCAACGTGCCAGAGGCAATTGGGAGCGCCTCGATAGCAGCAGCGGCCTGAAGGCCTGGTGTTGCTTTTTCTCGTCTGTGTGAACGCGCGGGGTCATGGCCCTGCACCGCTGTGAGACGTCTTCGTCCTCAGCACACTCGTCGCCTCTTCTATCGCTGGCCCCCTAGAGGACTGTGCATGATGCACTCGTGTCGCAGCACGAGTCTGGATGGCATGCGACGTATCAAAGGGATCCACCGCCCACCCAGCGACGCGGCAGGCCCCGCCAGGAACCAGGCGCCTTAGCCGCTTTGAGCTGCTGGAGCGGTGAAAGTGCCCCGCTAACTTCGAGGCTCAACATGAGGCCGCGCCTACTTGGGCCCCTCACTCCTCCAATTGACCCTGAACTTCTCCACAACATTCTCTCGCCGCCTGTTGCCAGCCACACACAACCACCCATCCCTCTCCATCCAACCACACACCCGCCATGGCCGACCACGCAGACGACCTCCACGCCGAGCAGACCGAAGGCTTCAAGGTCGGAGAGAAGAAGACAATCGACGAGTACCAGAAGCTGGGTACGTGGCACCCCCCATCGCGTCGCTAGCCCATACAAACAACTTGACAACACCTGCTGACCTTCGACCGCCACAGACCAGAATGACGAGTCTCTGCAAAAGTGGAAGGCGTCCCTTGGGCTTGGCCAGGGCAAGGACATCTCCGACCCCAACGACCCCCGCAAGTGTATCATTCTATCCCTTGGTCTCGAGGTAGAGGGCCGCGACGACATCATCATCGACCTGCGTGCTCCTGGTGCGCTCGAGGAGCTCGAGAAGAAGCCCTTCACCATCAAGGAGGGTGCGAGTTTCCGCATGAAGGCACAGTTCAAGGTCCAGCACGAGATTCTGGCAGGTCTCAAGTACCTCCAGAAGGTGAACCGCATGGGTGTTAGCGCCAAGCTGCAGGAGATGATGGTACCTATCCTCACCAGGCTCGTGCATCTATACATACGCTGACCGTCACAACAGGGCTCATACGGCCCCAACACTGAGGAGAAGCCGTTTTACGAGAAGAAGTGTACGTGTCCCATTTCGACAAACGCTGCCACATCACACTGCTAACTCTTCCTTCAGTCGAGCCCGAAACCGCTCCCTCTGGCATGCTTGGTCGCGGCCACTACACAGCCCTTTCCAAGTTCGTCGACGACGACAACCAGGTCCACCTGCAGTTCAAGTGGTCTTTCGACATCAAGAAGGACTGGTGATAGGCAATCGGCCAAATCCGCATGTTGGAAAAGGGTTGTATTGTCGCACGGCGCAATACGGCAGTCTCTTTTAGTTGGAAGCGGTGGATATCCAGAGTGCTTGAACTCCCACGAAGTAACGAAGCGACGGCTGAAGGTCGACCGTTTGGACGGAGACACCAATCCGACCAGATATCGATCCTATAGCTTTGAAAGAATCAAAATTTTCAGGACCTTTTACGTCTCGTTCCGTCCTTGGCTCGAATGTGCTTGATGTTTCTCGACCTGGTCGAAGTGAAACCATCTTCCTGCAATCCTCTTCGCCTTGACGGTCCGACCCGCCCATGCTCGCCCACTGCTTCCAGAACCAAATCTCCGTGCTGAAACATTGAGAATGGATATTTCTTGCTCCCATGGATCTCCCATGATAGCTTCGCGTCGGGTCTCGTGCTCAGTATCCATTTCAACATCCTCTTCGGCAGGGGCCGCAGAAGTACCATAGCTTCCTTCACACTCGACTATATGGAGTTGAACGCCAGTATTCAGTGCAGCGTCAGCTGCTGTAGCAAAGCATCGTGACAAGCCCTGGGCGGAGAAAGATGGCGTTGGTGCGTGCAGCGCGAGCGGATTTACCAACACGACCCTTTCCTTTGGTTTGGTCTCAGCTATAGACTCAGCCGCAGTATGGCCATATGCAGTCAAGTAGGCGAGCAGTGCTTGTACAGACGGGCAGAAAGCAAGTCTGACGTGTCGGCTCGTGAATAAGTTGTGGAGCGAAGGCGCAAGCAGTCGCTCTAGCTCTTCTGTGGCTGGCTCGCTGCGACTCTGTTGCAATGAAGTAGCAAGGTACTCCAAGAAAGATTCCTGACCGGAGCAGATAATCAACAAGGTCGGGCTTGTGCTGGACTGGGTAGTCAGGACATAGCGGAGGAACTCAAGCAGTGTTAGCGGGTGGAGCACCGTCGGCGTCGGCGACATGGCAGATTGAGTGTCGAATAAGTTCCGGCTGCCATGTGCACGTTAGATCGTGATGTCGATGTCTGCTGCTGCTGCTGCTGTTGTGTGGCGCCGAGTGTTCTAGGTGTACGTATTACCAGGCAGGTCACCAAAAGCCATGGACGGTCAGCACGGGCTGCAAGTGCCAATCGGCGGCTGTACCCGCTCCCCGATTCACACCCCCACCACCGTTGTTGTCCATGGCTCCAACTGCCGCAGCGCATGCACGCTGCCACGGATCATCACAACCTCGACGCCCAGAGCCTTTGCTGCCCATACCTTACCTGACTCTGCATAGCCGGCCTCCCGTCTGTCGGCAAAGACAAATCGAGTCGTGGGCTCCCGGAAGCAACGTACTTTCCCCCGGGCCTAAGTCGCTGTCATGGAGTCCATCAGTCGCATATCGAGCTTGTTGGAGACAGGTATGGCGCCTTTCTCAATTTTCTCCTCTTACATATCCATCGCATCTTTTGTGCCTTTGCGATTTGTACTCGACGGGTCTTGAACATGTAATCGCCTCGCTCGTTCACTATGCATCCATCCAGCTTTGCTCACTGGTCTCTTTCTACAGCCCGCGACCTTACCCTCGAAGCCGCCCGCGATGCCAGCAATGTCCGCCGAGCACCCACAAGAGAGCTGCCCTCGAGCCAGCTCAAGAAGCTTCTCGACAGCCGATCCGAGCGCGATGTCTTGGAGGGGCTCCGGAGAGTAATCACTGTATGCCAACCCTACCATGAATTCGGGCCATCTCAGCAGACATGGCACGCGTTGGGACGTGTAGTAACTGACTACAGTCCCTCTAGATGTCTTATCGACAACCCCCTGCCCAAACACTGCCTTTCTTCTCCCACGTAATCAAGAACGTCGCCTCGCCCTCGCTTCAGGTCAAGAAGCTCGTTTACATATATCTCCTCCAGCATGCCGAGCATGAGCCGGATACCGCTCTCCTTTCAATCAATACCATTCAAAAGTCGCTTACGGATACGAATCCTCAATTGCGCGCATTGGCGTTACGAGTCATGTCGAGCATACGGGTCCCAGTAATTAGCCAGATTGTGAGTCTGGGAATCAAGCGCGGCACTGGAGATATGTCGCCGTACGTAAGGAGGGCAGCGGCTTTGGCGATACCGAAATGTTACAGACTGGACCCCAACACCGAACCCCAGCTGCTGGAGCACCTGTCGACATTGCTGGGAGATAAACAGTACTTTGTGACTGGAGCTGCTGTAGCATCGTTCCTAGAGCTATGTCCAGATCGCTTAGACCTCATACACCCGCATTACCGCGCCTTGGTACGGAAGCTGGTCGATATGGACGAATGGGGACAGTTGGCTACACTGCGATTAATGATGGTTTATGCACGGAAATGCTTTCCCAGAAGGACGAAAAAAGTCAAGAAGGCGGCTAGCGCTAACACGAACAGCAAACCTTCACAGTCTACAAAAGGGTTCTATGATGATTCTGAGAGTGAATCTGAACAAAACGAGCAAGAGAAGGACATGGAGGAAATCGCTGTACTGGATCCCGATCTCGAATTGCTGCTAAAAGGCTGTCAGTCGTTGCTCCAATCCCGAAACGCTGCTGTGGTGATCGCGGTAGCCCGGACTTACCTGTATCTCGGTACACCCGAGTACCTGACCCAGGCCATCGGGCCGTTGATCTCCCTGCTGCGATCTGCTGCCGACATCCAGCACGTAGCGTTGTATAACATTGTACAGGTCTGCCTGGCACACCCCGAGCCATTTGTAAAGTACTACACACACTTCTTGGTGCGGTCAACAGATGCACCGCACATATGGCAGCTGAAGCTCGAGCTACTCACCTTGATATTTCCTCACGCCCATATGAGATTGCAAAGCTTAATACTTGCTGAGCTCAGCCACTTTTCACATTCTGGCAGTTTGGATCCAGCACTAGTCAAAGAGTCTGTACGCGCAATTGGACGCTGCTCGCAAAGTCCTGCGACCAGTCCTCAAACCTCAGCCAGGTGTCTTAAACTATTGCTAAAACATATTGGATCTGCCGATGCCCACTTGGTAGCGGAGTCGCTGGAAGTCATCCGACACTTGATTCAACGAGATCCAAACGCTCATCGCACTACTGTTATCCGGTTAGCAAAGCATTTGGATGCAGCCACCAGTCCTCAAGCTCGCGCTAGCATCATTTGGCTAGTTGGCGAATTCGCCGGCCTGGATCCGGAGAACAACATTGCTGCAGATGTTCTCCGTATTCTTGTCAAAGGCTTTGCAGATGAGGCCGAGCCAGCCAAGCTTCAGATTGTGCTGTTGGCAGCCAAGGTGTATGTGCATCATTTGACAGCCAATCCGCCCCCGGAACCTAAAGTGGAGGAGCCCAAACCGAGCTCGTCCCTGATCGACGAATTTCAAGAAGAACAAGGCGGGTTCAGAGACGAGCATCTCGATGCACTCGCCCAGAACAACGAGCCTCAAGAGGAGGAGAAGCCACATATCATTGAGGCACTTTACAACTACGTTCTCTTGTTAGTAAGATACGATACTTCGTACGACCTTCGTGACCGCGCTCGCGTTTACAAAGCACTACTGGCGACACCTACCTCGACACAGTTGGCTTCGCTCCTGCTTTTGGCACCCAAGCCAGTGCCGCACATTCCCAGCCCAAGTGAAACACGAAAGGGCTATGTACTGGGAAGTGCCAGTCTAGTAGTTGGTGATGAAGGCGGTGTTGGAGGACTCAAAGGATACGAAGACCTGCCGCGCTGGGTCAAGGAAGGAAACGAGCCAGATCCCACGCTCCGCGACGAAGCTGCGACTTCATCTTCTTCAAATTACGTGTCGGCGTATGAAACTGCAAAGAACATGTCGGCAGCTGAGAGGCTGGACGCAGCGGCGGGCAGTAGCGGTAGAATGACTGCAGACAACACGATGAGCCCAAGAGGCTTGAATGGGATTAGTGGAGATGGAGGTTTCGGTGGGGTGCCCAAAGCGCCGCTCAAGGAGAAGACACTCGACGACTGGCTGGCGGAAGAAGAAGGAGAAGATGATGAGGAGGAAACCGAGACAGGAAGTGAAGAAGAGACAGACGAAGAGGAGGAAGAGAGTGAGGAAGAGAGCGAATACGAGACGGACAGTGAAGACGAGGAGACTGATGATGAGCGAGGTAATCTCATCAAGCAGTAGTAGTATATTTCGAAGAAAGAGTGAGCAAGACATGATAAGAGTTTTTTTTTTCATGGACATGGTCATGAATTGCACTCTTCTTTGCGTAGATATTCAAACCCGAAGAGAAGAACCAAAAAAAAAAGAAGTTGACTAATAAAAATCACTTCAAAGCCTCGCCATATTCCCCCTCTTGCGCATACTCTTCGTCTTGGTCTCTGCCCCCTGCCCCTCCCCTCCCAACCCCACCCCTTCACCCTCGGAAACAACCGCAGTAGCATCATCCCACAAGTCCTTGGCCACAAGATCTACAAGTCCCAAAACCCTATTCTGCACCGTCGCCCCATCGCGCCGATTCTTGCCCTCACGTCTACTCGCACTAATCCTTTCTGCAAACCGCCACAACGGACCATCCGCAACGATACTCGCGCTACCATCCGTCTTCCGCTGCGGCACCCACTCATCCGCCAGCCGTATACCCAGTGCATTCTTGTTCTTCTTGCTCGCGCCCTCACCATTACGCGGGCGGGCCACAACAATCATGCCTTCGTCTTGAAACCTCGTATAAGCGTTCTTGAGCGTTTCCTTGTTTACGGCTTCGAAGTAGGAGAGGTCCCCTTGGTGGTAGAGGGTTTTGCCGAGGAGTTGGGCGTGGTCTTGAGTTTTCTTTTGGTCGAGCCATTTTGGTGATGGGGGTGATGTTGTTGATGGTGAGGAAGAGGACAGAGGGGGCGTGAGCATCATTAGGCTTATTGCGCCGAGCCAAGCGGCTTCGATAAAGGGCCAGATGAGGAAGCAGTAGAAGTCGTAGTTTTCGCGGCCCTGGGCGCGTTCAGTGGGGGAGAGTTCGATCCATTCGATTTTGGATTCGATAGAAGAAGTGGGGGTTTCCGGGGAGGAGGAAGGTTCTGGGGAGGAGCGGGTTAGGGTTATGACGTCGTCTTTTTCGAGGCCGAGGAGGGTTTTGGAAAGGTTGGTGTCGAGACCTTCGGTTGGGAAGATGAATTCGCCGCGGAAGAGCTGGGAGAGGAAATGGACTTGGGCGCGTAGGTCGGTGTATGACATGCGTTGGTACTCGGGTCCACCGCCTTGCTTGACGTGTGTGTATAGTGCTGCGCTGACGAGACTTTGTAAGATGAACAAGTGGATGGTCATGTTACGGTAGAAAGAGAGCTGGAATCGATCGACGGCGTAGAATGTGTCTTCTGGGAGATCAGGAATAAGGCCGACAAGTCCTGGGCCGAGCACTTCAAGAGCGCGGTCGACGACAACGCTGGTGGGGAGATTGCCAAAGTGTGCTACGCGACCTCCTTGGGCCCGTACACGGTCACTGAGCCATTCTACGCGTCGGATGAGTTCGGTCTTACCAACACCGCGGCCGCGAAGTGTGAGTAGGACAGTGCCGACCAAAGCCGTAGGCATGACTACTGAGACGTCGTTGATTTCTGACAACACTTTGTAACCCAGAGTGCGAAGGATCCGGAGTCGATCTTCTTTGGTATCGATTTGTTGGGGCAGCTTGGAGAAGCGATCGCGTTGTTGGGTAATGAACGACTTCAGGGACCAAGGTTCGTGGAAACGGACGTCTACACGACCAAGTTTGAGAGAGAGGACGGACGAAGCAGACAGGAAATCCATGAGATTTTCTTTGGGCTTTGGCTGGCCGAGGAGTTCGCTAATATATGAGCTGTTCACTGTTAGCATCCATATTCATCTTGGAGAAATTTCGCAGACGTACTCGACCTCAATCACCTTGTCGTACTGCGTTGAAACTGGGCAAATGATGGCATCCTCTACCCGGCCACTAGCAACACTATCCAGCATGTAACTCAAGATGCCAAATTTTGGTGGAAGGAGCTTGCCTGTCCGACTCCGGCCTCCTTCGACAAAGCACTCGAGGTTATAACCACATCGCAACAGAGTATCTATGTATGCTTGAACCAGCGTGATATACAGTTGATCGTCTCCGAAGCTCCGTCGTATCCACATGGCGCCCGCATGTTGAAGAAATGAACCCACAACTGGAAAGTTCAAGTTGTCGCCAGCTACAACGGTAGGTAGCGCAAGACCAAGCCTGTAGCAGATGATCTGGAGAGAAACATAGTCGACATGGGAGCGATGGCAAGGCAGGAATATGATCGAGTGCTTGTCCTTGGCTGCTTTTTCAGCTACCGTGCGTAACCGCAAGACTTCCTCGCTCGAAACGTGAACACCCTGGTGGTATGCCCTGGTGAGGAGCTGAGTTGCAAAGTAGTATGCACCTCTTATGAAAGGCCTGCTCTCCATTTTGCATATCATCGAGTCTGTCCAGCCCTCACTGACCTGCATGAGTGACTCTTCAATCTCGGCCCTCCTCTTGGACTTTCTGTCTTCATCATTCAGCAATCCTTGCTTGACTTCAACCTCAATTCTCTTGTCCGCCAGTTCGCGTACTTTGGCAATGAGCATTGGGCTGCTCAGCACCCTTCCCTTCATATCTTCACTGAAGCCCGAGTAAAACTCTGGCTGGCCGATGTGGTGATCAAAAGAACGCCATCCTGTTCCAGAGAAATGAAGCGATACTTCACGCAAGAAGTCCAGAGGTGAGGAGCGGAAGCGCGCGAAGCTGTGTATGAGGCCGCGATCGGGCGACTCATTGTAGCCGGCTGCGTGGAGATGCACATTATCATCTGCAGTTATGCTGAGGTCGGGAGCTTGTTCAGAGGTAGAGGAGGATGAGGCTGCAGGGCTCTGCCCCTCGTCTGAGCGGGTCATGGTGTCCAAAGGGCAGGACGTTGCTGATGCGCCGGGCGGAGATGCGTCTCGTCAGGGGGAGTTTGGGACCGACTGCGCTGATGACATGGGAAGGCGCGTTTTCGGTCGGGGTGGCACTTGATCTATTTGATCTATGGGTCCGTGGGCTGCGAGTGGTGTAGTGTTATGACATTGTCAAATAAGGCGCGAGATACGTTGCCTGGCAAGAATGACGGCGCGATTGTTGAACCTGAGATGGACCCACTTCCCCGGCCTATCCCTTGAGCCTCGGCTTGTGGGGAAGGCATAGCGGGCCTGCATCGCCTCCGATTCGCCAGCCATCCGATTGCTACGGATGTTGGTATAAGCAATCGAACATGAGTGCAAATGTCACTCGTTCACATTTTCAGCGGATTGCAACTAACGTTCTTAATTATCTATGGATATTTCTTGACAGGAGATACGTGCCGAAGAGCCTACAGCCAAGTCAAGGTGCTTCAAAACGCCTCCCAAAGACTGACTTTACCATCCTTGGCCCCAGCAGCAACCCAATGCTTCATCTTTGTTTCGTTCTCGCGTTCCTGCCCACGGCTCTCGACACGTGTTTCTGGCTGTGAGTCTTCCACTGTGAGGTCTTCTGCTGTCAATATGTCGGCAAATGCTACTGCGTAGACACCTTCCTTGTGCCACTTGAGCACTGCAACTTCCTTTAGAGTTTTGCTACTATATATGCGGACGCGAGCATCCCAGCCTCCGGTGACAATGAGCCGGCCGTCAGAGCGGACTCGGAGTGACTGTTGGCCAGCATGCTTGGTGTCTATGATTTTGTATGCAGGCTCTAATGTCACTACCGACTGGACCTGTGGTGCAGGCTTGATGCGGGGAAGTGGTGTAGAGGACGACGAGAGTAGAGATGACAAACCACCCGGTTTGGGAGTCTCCGCTGTCTTTCCCTTGGTAGGCAACTTTGCAAACAAAGGCGGAGACTCGGAGGAGTCGACAGGCTGAGACATGTCTTCCATTGTCTCTGATAATCGACTCACAGGCACCGATGGGGGTGTCATGGTAGTTTCATCTTCACCTACCTCATTGGCACCGACAGTCAGCTCGGGCACACGATGCTTGACCAATTTGGCGTCAGCAGAAGAAGTGAAGAAGAAGTCGCCATCCGGTGAGGCATCGAGTGACAGGACAGGCTGAGAATGGGGCTGGCTGAGGTAAATAAGCTCAGCAGAGCCGACGGAAGGACCGGTGCAGTCACCCGGGAGCTTGAAAGCGGCGGCGACGCCACCCTCGTACCCGGCAAGGAGCAAGATGTTTTGCGAGTGTTGATGGCGAAGCAACTTGACAGCCATGACCATGCCTAGGGATGTTAGCGACATTTATAGTTGTAGGGTTGGCACAATGGCACGTACCTGTCTCGACTGTTTGCACTCGGGGGACTATAATTTTCAGGGTTTCATCCGGAAGGAGCCATACTTCCATCTGCTTGTCGTCCCTTCCCGGAACAGCTACGAGGATGGGATTAGGGTCCGTCTGGTCTGTGTGGGGCCGCGTGTACTGGTAGCACATGGAAAAGGCGCAGAAGTTGAGAGTATTGACGGGAAGCGAATGGAGCATCCATGGCAGTGGCTGGGTGTGGTTGTCTGAATCTGCAGGGAGAGCAATCTTATCTGGCAGACGACCTTGCGGCCTCAGCTGCCATACTCGGAGGGTATTGTCTCGACCATGACTATGAAGCACACGTTAATCGGTTGACTTTTTTTTAAAATGAGGATATTTGGCAGGGACGAATAAGGGACGAGCAAGGGGCACATGCGTGGTGTATGTAGGGGTGGATAACGAGAGCAACGTACGTGAGAATGCGGTCGTGATCCCATTGGGCGAGGGCGAGAATGGGGCCCGCATGGGCCTTCCACACGTAGACGGCCCTCTTGGTAGCGAGGCTCCAATAGACGACGCAGCCATTGGCATCGCCAGTGAGCAGGTAGGCGTTGCAGCGGACAAAGTGCACGCAGTGGATCGGGGAAGCGTGGCCGCGGAGAATGCAGGTGGGCAGGGCGGGTGGCAGGGTGGGCGAGTGTTGGGCGACAGCCATGTGTGGTAAGGGTAAGCTGAAGTGGTGGTCTTGGGCAAGACGGCGCGAGATGGGATCGGCCAGGCAGGACAAGTGGGGCAGACACAGCCAACGATGGGCGGTGCCATTTCGGCTGAACGGTCGAGGAGAAGGAGGCCATGTCGAGCCCAAGACAGCACAGGTAGTAGTGTATTGACTGCATACCCATACCCATACCCATACCCATTACTCACACGGCGAGCTGACGGCGGGCGATGCTGGCGTCACGAGAGCGACGTCACGCGGCTGGGGGGCTGCCATCTGCAATCCTTCTGTATGTACTTGTATAGATACAGCCAAGTGCAATGCGTATCTACGTATGTGTGAGTGTAAATACCTGGCTAACGTCCCTCCCGGCCTGCTGGAAACCCACCAGTGCTTCTCATCATAGTAACAAAGTCAACCATCATCATGAGGCGCAGATAAGCCAAGAATCAAGAAATGGACTGTACGGTAAATCCAGAAGCGGTATAGCTGTATCCTAGCAATGCCCCGCATGTCTCCTGCAGCGCTAACCATGGCGGTTTTCGCCACCTGTGGCTCAGTCTTCCCAGGCAACGATTTTCGTCCCACTCTCTCATTGAATATAGTGCGTCTCGACAAGGTCCTGGCCAGAGCGGGTTGGCCATCCTCCCTTCTAGCTTGAATAAGGCGTTCATCCACTCCTTAAGGTATGAATATAATAAATCTAGTCGTATGCGAACTCGCCTTCCGCTAGATTCTGCATGCTGCACGTCTGTCACAAATTGGGGCTGAGCATTCAGTCCCACCTGTCCTGAGCGAAGCTGTCCCTTTAGATCTCCTTTTGAACTGTTTCATGTTTGGTATTTTGTTTTGCTGTTATACCCGTTAACCTTAATGACTAAGTATGGTATTCTCAGCCGACGAGTGAGTTGCCGTGCTCTTATCTCTTCCCCCGGCCTGCCGCATTTGAACCAGGCCATAACCCATCTGACCCCCGTCCCACTACACGCGAAACAATGCGTCTCTTGCAACGCAGCAGCACTGGCGACTTCCGCCTCACCAAGGATTTGATTGGCGATGAGACTATCCCTCCGTATGCGATACTTTCGCACACATGGGAAGCAGACACAGAGGTCACCTTTGCAGACATGGCAAATGGGACTAGCACGGATAAGTTTGGCTATAGGAAGATCCAGTTCTGTGGAGAGCAAGCCAAACAAGACGACTTGCAATACTTCTGGATTGACACCTGTTGTATCGACAAGTCAAACCACGTTGAGCTTCAGGAGGCCATCAATTCCATGTTTCGCTGGTACCAGAATGCGGTGAAATGCTACGTCTATCTATCCGATGTTTCGACAGCAAAGCCGAACACATATGAATTCTCTGGCTCTACTTGGGAATTGTCTTTCCAGAAAAGCAGATGGTTTACTCGTGGTTGGACCCTTCAAGAGCTTCTTGCCCCGCGTTTAGTCGAATTCTTCTCCCAAGAAGGCACGCGTCTAGGTGACAAGAAATCGTTAGAGCGGCAAATTCATGAGATAACGGGCATCGCTACCCTAGCCCTCCAAGGAGCCCCATTAGAGGAGTTTGATGTTGAGGAGCGATTATCGTGGGCAAAAAGCCGTCGGACCACCCGCAAAGAAGATAGAGCGTACTCGTTACTGGGTATATTTGGGATCTACATGCCACTCATCTATGGTGAAGGCGAAGATAACGCATTCAGACGGCTCCAGGAAGAGATCAACAAGCCTTTAAACGGCCGCCAACGGAAAATGGATTCGCTTTCTATTGTGGACGCATCCACCACCACCATCCGACTCATCGATACCACATCGATATCGATATCCTCCTTTATACGATCCGTCCGCGAATCTCGGCCGGATCTCAACATTGTCGAAAATGAACTCCAGTCCATCAAGAGGACGCTTGAGCTGCTTCGCGAAGATCTCGACACGGCATCCGGTAGCGAAGCATCACCGGCACTTCCTATCTCGTTTAAGAAACAAATCCTTGGAATCATAGACTGTTGTGCTGCCACAATTAAGCAGATTCAAGAATCCCTTGAAAATTCTCGCAGCCTTCTGGCCAAGTCTGTCGTTGGCCAAGCCAGATGGGCCACTAATGGAAAAATAGATATCCAAAGACATCGCTCCGTGCTCGAGTCCAATAGACGTGCATTAGAGATTGCGGTCGACCTACTTTCCTGGACGATGACAAGAGAAGTTAAGGACACAACTGTCGTCCGAGATGATACTTCTCACATCAAGCAAGACACGGTGCGAATTCTGGAGGAAATAGCCAGGCTACAGGAGCAACTACCTCGAGATCTGACACAACCTAATGATGAGCGCGGACTAGTGCTAGACAGATATCTGGAAAGCCTAACGTCTTACACCGAGACACTCAATGCCGAAATGGACGCCGAGTGGGACAGCAATAGCAACGATCACCTGTACCACCTGTCTAGATCTGACGGGGATGCACTGCCAAACGATCCGGTTATTTCCCAGCCTTCTCAAGCTCAACTTCCCTTGCGCCCTTTGAGCAACCAGGCCCACGGAGGCGCCTTGGAGAGTCTTCAAAAAATGGGCTTTACAGAGCAACACTCGACCCTTCCCAAAAGCTTCCTTCTCGCAGTCAATAACCGCATTTCGAGAGACCAGTTCCTTCAACTGCGAACAGGGAACCTGCCGTTCAAGAAATCCGCACCGTTGCTTACCATCGGGGCTTTCCTCTTCCCGGGCACACTCCGCGTCGTCACCCAGCGCAGGTCACTCAGCGACATTGCGCAGAATATGACACCAGCGGTGCTCCGCGGGTATCAACGGCGTGCAGTCAAGGGTGTGGCATATCCAGCGCTTATCCCGAGTATTGATCCGAATGTTGAGACGACAGGAATGATGATATTCGGTCTAAACGGTCCGGATCGGAAGGCAATGGATGCTTTCCAAGGGGGCATGTACGATTTGAGCCGGGTGACGGTAGAGATTGAACTCGAGGATGGGACTAAGGAGTTCCCTGAGGCGTTGGCCTTTGTTTGGAATGGGCCGTCAACGGGGCTTGTTCCAGTGGAAGACATGTCTTGGTCGCCGTTGGATATGCTCCATGATAGATGGTTGTCTGGGATACTCAAAATGGTAGAACACGAGGAGGAGGCACTTTAGCTTGATACTACTCAGGGGATTAGTCTGGGAGAGCATCGCATGTCTCTCAACATGTTGAGTAGGCTGAGTGCTTTGGGTATTGCGGCTGGGAGGCTTGCATATGGGTGAGTGGCCCAGCGTCAAGGTGTGGCTTGAGTTACTCTCCATTCGTATAGAATAACCTGTATGAATGTATGTATGTACACTAGTTAGTTACATGGAGTGATGATGTCAGCAATACTAGAATACCGCTAGTCTCTTCTTGACCTTTCGGTACAGAATGGGAAGTGGGTCTCTCGCTTGACGATCCTGCTTGACAGAGGCACTCAACACCGCTGATGCGCGCATAGTACACAGATATAGATGCTGCATTCGGAGTACACTCCTTGCATGTGTTTGTGCAGCTGAGCAGGTTTTTACGAGGATGCATCAGCTCTGGAGCGCGTCCAAGGCTGGCTGAGCCCGGGGTGTTGTGCATGTCGACAAGGAGATGTAGTATTGTCAGCGCAACAAGAGCTGATCAGAAAGAGAAGAGAGGAAGTGACCAAGGCTGAGGCAGGAAGAGTGTTTTCCAAGATTGTTGCGGCGTTTTGACATGTGCCAACGTTGTTGTGGTGCAGAAGATGAGTAGTGGTTTCTGGGCAGGCAGGGGGCATGTTGCGTATGTACCCTAAATAGATGGATACGCAGATGGATGGAGGTGGTGGCCATGCGATTGCCGATGGATGGATGCAGGGATCTCGTATGGCGACGAGCTTATTTGCAGCTGTCAGCAACATTAGACGAGTCTTGCTTGCACTTGCTCCCTGCACCGCCACGGAGCCGCCGACGGTCGTAATCATCGACGCTCTCGAACAAGCCTCCGCGGGTCCGACGCATGCTTGTTGCTCTTTGTTCGCTCGCACTCGCTCCTCACGCTTTAGCCCAGGCCCGTTTGCGCATTGCGCCCGGGACGGCGCGCACATCCATCACGCCCTCAGCACTCGTACGTCGCACGTCGCCCCAGCACCAATGCTCTCTTTGAACTGCTACTCTACTACGCACATCACACGCAGTCTGCGTTACCCGCGCTGCCCCTCGCTTCATGGGCCCTCGCCTCGCCTCGCCTCGACCTGCCCCTCGCAGGCCCCGGCAGCCACTGCGCCCCCATGCCATCGCCCGCCCTCCCTATTCCCCGTCGTCGCTCGCCCGCCCGCCCAGCTCCCATCCAATATTCCACCCGTCTGACGCCTTGGCCCTAGTCGACATTCATATTCGTTTCTTTCCTTCTTCCTTTTTAGACGCCGCCTCCGTTTTGCTTCTGCTCTGCTCTCCCCCCGACTCGCGCTTCCAGACTCGCGCCCGACACACATCGCCCTCCCTCGGATCCCATTCCAGACCATTACCCTCCCGTCTGCGCCCTCCAACCGTGCGCTCTTGCCTCGACTTGTTACCAATCCACCCCGACATCCAAAAACTCACTCCAAACCCACACCCACAACAACCACGTCCACAACCACAAAAGTGGAGGGGTTCAAGTAGTCGCTTCGCTGCACGCCCTACTCCAGGGTCGTGGTGGCCTCACGCCCAGCAGCCCCCCTGCACAGCGACCATCCTCGAACCGGCTCTGTGCGCAACAGCAGCGGCACCATGGCAGACACTGCTACGCCCCCTTCCAACAACGGCTCTCCCACCAACAAGACGCTGCCCACTAGGAAACGAGCGAGCGACGCCACTGTCGACGACAAACCAAAGCGCACGCGCACCGGCTGCTTGACATGCAGAGAGCGTCATCTCAAATGCGACGAGACCAAGCCCACCTGCAACAACTGCCTCAAATCCCAGCGAGAATGCAATTGGGGCAAGAAGCTCAACTTTCTCGACACCACCTGCGAGCGAAACGCATATCTGATCCCCCAGGGCATCGACTATCAGGTTGCCTTCATGGACGAATCTCGCACAATCGCCTCTGAATACGTCGGTGGCCGAGAAATGTATCCTGTTGAGGAAATGGAGTCTCACATGCCCATGGCCGACAATGCCTTTGGCATGGCCCCACCCCCTGCGTCGCGTCAACACCTCCCGCCAATGCAAGGCATCGCCCATGACTCGTACCAACAAGCACAACTCAACTACAACCTGGATCAGCACCGCACACAGCATCAACACGGACGCACAAGTGAGCTCATCCACAATTTTCGATAAGAAAAATCCCGTTGCTAACTTGTATAGTATCCAATTACTCAAGCGGCCCAACTCCTTCCTCATACACCATGGAACACTCGGCTAGCCCAGGTCCCCTTCCCACGCGCGACTATCTAAAAAGTCAAGAGGAAGTACTGTACATGCAAGTCTTTGTTGAGGAAATTGGTATCTGGATGGATAGCATGGATGCACATAAGCACTTTTCACGTCTATTGCCCTTCCACGCCCTCAACGAACCCATGTTGCTGCATGCTTTTCTTGCATGTGGTGCACGACATCTGGCCCTTGTCAACCCAAAGTACAGTGAGGAAAAGGCCCTGCATTACTATGATGTAGCCACACGCGACCTACTGCATTCCCTGCAGAACCCCGACCGTGACACCGTTCTGTGTGCGACCACTGCTGTCATTCTGAACGTATACGAAATCATGGCTGAGCGCGCGTTACAACGCATGAACCACATTGCCGGTGCCCGCGCCTTGATCAAAGAGTGCCGCTGGAATGCTAGATCAACAGGCATTGGCGCAGCGTGTTTCTGGCTCAACGTAGGCATGGAGATTCTGAGTTGTTTGCACTTCAACTGGCAAGTCGCGTGGGATCCAGACGACTGGGGCATCGAAATGGACTTTACCCCAGAAACTGAATCGGGAAGAGAAGAAGTCTGGACACACCGGATTTTGTACGTTGTCGCTAGGATATGCAACTTTCGCGCCTCAATACCACGCAACCAAGATATTGCCAGGCAAACATTGCACGACCGCCATAACGAATGGCTGCGGCTCAAGGAAATGACCGACAGATGGAATGAAAATATCCCCAGGACTATGCACCCAATGGCTTACCTATACCCTGGACAGACCATTTCCGGCTCCGCATTTCCAGAAGTTTGGTTGATTAAACGAGCATCCATCATCGCGCGCCTATTTTACCACACGTCCTTGGTATTGTTAGCCCAAATCAACCCTGTACAAGCAGCCAGCGAACCGGAAATGTGGGCTATGCTCGAGCAGAATTCAAAGTTCATCTGCGGTATTAGCGCACATGTCAAAGATCGTGGCGTCGCTAGCGTGGCGCTAAGATCACTTGCCATTGCTGCCGAGCCTTTGACCGACCGCCGCGAGCAAGAAGAGGTTCTCCAAATCTTTGATAAGATCAGACAGGAGACGGGATGGCGCGTGGGCTTTGTCAATACAGAGTTGAAACAAAAATGGGGCTGGGATACACCACAGACCCAAGACCAATCGCAACAACAGCCGCTGCCGCCGCCTCAGCAACAGCAGCAACAACTCAACGGCCAGATGCAAGACGGCAACGTCATGTATCAACAGCAGCCGCAAATGGTAGTTCAGCAAATGTCCCAGGTCTCTCTGGCGCCCGTGCCCGCCCCGGCTCCCGCCCCAGCACCTCGAAGGCCAACAGGCTTTGGCAATCCTCTTCTTGTCGCAGACTTTAGTATGCCGCAACATCCTTACCAGGCACATTATGTTCCAGCCAACATCGTCCAACAGCAGCAACCCCCGACACTTCTTCAGCCGCCCCTCAACGGAGTCAACGGCTACGGCGCTCATTTCTTCTAATACATTCTTGCCGTCCCCATACGCTGCGATTGCGCCTCATCATCTCTCTTCATACACCAGTGTATTAGTGTCACTCCATTACTTCATGAAAGTTTTTTGCGTGTACAAAAAGCGGCTAAAAACGTACAAAGGCGGCATTGTTTGCGGTATCTTCTTTTGGTTCTACACGTCTACTTAGCGGCGTCTGTCGAGGACGGATGTTTACTTCTTTCCGTTGTAACGACATAACGAGCAGATTTGTATGGGATTAATTCGATTGCTCATGGAGCTGGCCTTGGGACTATTGACGTTTTTTTTGGCTCTTTGACATTTGGTTGGGTTAGAAGTTTAACCTAGAGATGTTTCTTTTTCTTGTAAATATACACATATACCTTTGTTTACACCTATTATGGTGTGCAAATTCAAAGAGAGATGCTAGGTAGATAGAAATACGCATCCCATTGACAAGTCCCTTTCTTGGCTAGCTTGTCCCCTCTTCTTTTCCACGTCTTTGTCGTGTCTTTCCATCCAGACTCGTCCCGCTTGATTGTCCTGACAGCACGTATAGTTTAGTGCCATGTGATCATCAGCAGCTCACTGATAGCTACAACATAAAGCAACCATCAAGCATAATCGAATACCTACCATGAACGCGGCATGTTCCTTCCATTGGACCAGTCTCGTAAGATTAACTTGGTTCATCCAGCATTGTCATACAAATGCAGCTGTTCAGGGTCGTAGCGGAGAGCATGCTTTCTTGCCCTCTAACGTAAGGGTAAGAACGCTGACGACGACCGTCATACACCGTTGTTTCCTCATTCGTACCCCCTTGTTTGTTTCCTGCCGAACACCACACCCACTTTCACACTATCCACTCGCCCATCTCTCTTCCGTTACACATCTTATCCATGTCCTCCACATACGACTTCATCCGATGCAGCATCCACCCGGATTGAATCGACCTCGTACTCCCCCCCCCCATCGCTCCGCCAGCGAATGCACTTGCTTGCTGAGCTCAAGTACTCTATACACTGCCTAGTTGCAGCTTCACCCAGCACCACATGCGTTGAAGTAGAGCATGTAGCTCCAGCAGCAGTACTAGCGTACGAGAACTGGAGACAAGTGGGCTTAGCCTCGTAAGCAGCTTTGCAAGACTCAAAAGATGACGACGACGACGTAGAACAACGAGGATATCGTCTGTTATCGGTAGCTTGGGGCATTGTATCTGCGGCTCTAGTAATGACGTCTGATGCTGCCGCGGTAAACAGAATTTGTACACAAAGCATAGCACCAGTACAACCCACAATACCCCTCTTATCCGCTTACTACACTTGCGACCTCCCACTGGCGACCGCAATCTAGGCGTGTACCTTCCCTCCTCTTTCCACCTTTTCCATCCAATCGTCTTTGCGCCGCATGTTAGGGACTGAGCGTAATATCAAGAAAAGAACGACGTCAACAAACAAAATGCAAGAATACCATATAAGAGTCAAGATCGACGCAAAATAAAAAGAGAGCTTTATATTTTTTCTTCTCATTTCTTTCTTCCCTTCATCCAAGTGCCCAAAACTTATAAAGGTTGCTCTCCCCCATCAAAAAAACCTTGACTGTTCCGCACACAGAGAACACCCCACCCTCTGGCATGCGTTTTTTTTTTTTTTTTTTTTTTTTTTTTTTGCCCAGACGGGCCATGAATCCTTTTTGGTTTGGTCTGCATCCCGTCTCACGTTGCTGGATCAAGCGGGGTCGGTTTGTATTGGCAATAATCTTTTTAGGTTTGACTCTTGGCTAGGTACAGGGCTGCGGAAGAGATAATAGCTATGGTGTAAGCACAGTACAGGGGGTGTGACATTTGAATGATTCGTCATCGATTTGTGTTTGGTTGCAATGGCCTTGGAGAGATAGATGCGTGCAGGTCGATGTTTTCATGTTCATATTGAAGATTAGGAGAGAGAGAACAAAAAAAGGTGCATGGACATGTACATCTTGTCTTTGTTGGTTGTACGTAGTCTTGGTTCTGTTGCATCGTCATTGGAACGCCGAGATTGTGCTTACGTCTGGGGGTACTAACAATAGTAGTACGTCACCAGCGAACTACTGAGCCGAAATTGCTGCGAGCGATGCGCAAATCACAATGTGAGAATCACAACTGTTTATCGTCACTATCACTATGCTTGAGTACTGCACTGCCATACAAGCCTGAAGTTAATCAAATATAGGAACGTTTTTCATTCATTGTCATAAGCTCAATATATACAGTACACTTGCTCAATAATCGCCTTCCTAGCACCCTTCACACGCTTACTTGGATGTGTCGAGAACATAGCGTCCGACTACGGCACCCTGGTGCATCTTGTCATAGACCATCTGCAGTTCAGACAGTCCAACAATCTTGTATGGAGCCTTGATCAAGCCACGACGGAAGAACTCAATCGCCTCTGAGCTGTCCTTGCGGTTACCAACATACGATCCCTGGATCCTGATCATCTTGATAACGGTCTCAAAGACGGGTGCCTTGAGATAAGCACCGGCAGGAAGACCAATGCAGATGACGGTACCGCGTGGCCGGACGTATTCAGCAGCCTGTTGGAATGGCTTCTCGTTGACAGCAACAAGAATGACAACATGAGGGCCAAGACCATCCGGTGTTGCCTTTTGGACGTCGGCGACAAGGTTCTTTGATGTGGCAAAGTCGACGAATGCTTCTGCACCAAGCTCGCCAGTGCACATCTTCTTCTTCTCCTCACCAGAGTCAATGGCAATTGTTCGTACGCCCATGGCCTTTGCGTATTGGCAGGCGAGTGAACCAAGACCACCTCCGGCACCGACAATGGCAGCGAATTGGCCAGGCTTGACACCAGACTCTTTCAAACCCTTGTAAACAGTAATACCGGCGCAGAGGACAGGGGCAATAGCAGCGAGATCACACTCCTTGGGAATGCGGGCAACGTGGGCAGCTTTGGCGATGCAGTATTGTTGGAAGGTGCCGTCGACAGTGTATCCAGAAAGAAGTGGTTTCGGGCAGAGGGGCTCGTCTGCTTGTTGGCAAAAGTCGCATGACAGGCAAGAACCGTTCAGCCATTTGACACCTGGGGAGAATTAGCAATTGTGAATTGGCAGTAAAAGTGAGAGAAATTAATCATACCGACATGGTCGCCAAGCTCAACGTCCTTGACAAGCTCTCCTCGTGCAACCACGACACCGGCACCTTCATGGCCACCGACAAGAGGCAGTTTGGTTGGCTTGTGGACGTTAGCACCTTCAACAACAAGGAGGACTGATCATACGTACCAATGGCCAGTCACCATTGACGGCGTGTAGATCGGTGTGGCAGACACCAGAGTATTTGATGTTGACAAGAACCTCATCTGGGCCGGGTTTCTGTACGGGGATCTTCTTGTACTCGACGGGGCCGCCGGTCTTTTCAATGACCTGTGCCCATTGCTCTTGAGGAATGCTGCTCATGGTGATGGAGGCGGTGGATTGGTGTGGAATTGAGTAGCTGGTGATGATGTGATTGTGTTGGATGACTACAGTGTCACAGAGGGTGCGAGCTTTATATACTCAGTAGTGAGGCAGTGAGAGCTCAAGGGTTCAACCCCACTCGGCAGCAAACGGATGACGCCAGGGTCTGGATACAAACGCGCCTTCACGGAAGGAGCTGTGTGTAGGATTGCGTCCGTTCACCCATGGCAGAGGCGAGTGTCTTGCTCGGCGCGCCGGAGATGGGCGATTGATGACTAGCCGACCCTATTGGCCCATTCTCACGAGGTACAAGTGGACAGTGGACCTGTTGGAGGGGTTGAGAGACCAAGATTGGATGGACTTGCGGATCATGATGCATCGGTTGAGTGGCAGCAGCAGTAGCGTGTGGTGCGAGGTTCCGAGGTCAGAGCAAAGTCAGCATGAGCAGACTTTAGCGCGTGTAAATCAGCCCAGGGACCAGGGCAAATGCAAGCCCGCGTCTGTTATGGTGTGAGGGGGGCTGAGAAGGGCGAGGTCTCGAGATGGAGGGGCGCTCCAACATCAAGCAGCTAGCTTCTTTTGGCCGAATATCTCCTGATACTTTCTACCCTCCGTCCACGGCCGCACCATACAAAAAACTCGAGCGCAAAATTGTTCTGTCTTGCGATCCAATTCAGGTTCTAAAGAAATGCTCAGTAATTCGTTGAGCTCATAATGGTCTTTCGATCGTATGCTTCCATGGACGGCCACAATCCGGTCCCTCCGTGACCATCTTCGCCTGACAGCTCCACTACCGATTCCGCGGGAGCCCATGTGAAAAGAAAATCGACATGAATCGAAGGGCTGAGCAGGCATTCCAACTGGGTCGGTCGAGCGCAAAGTTCAACGCTATTCACGGACAACGTGCGCAAGCTCTTCAGCCACACGTAGCCTTGCATACGTATGTTCCATTCAAGGAAGTACCACGTCGCCGCTGTCCAATGAGATCAGCCAATACTGCCTTCGGACAGTTCCACCGCATGCGGCTCCTGGTCTACCATGCGGGGGTGTTGAGGTCCGACTACCATGGTCGTAGTGCGGCCGCAATCGCGGGGTAGTACGCGGAACGCTGCCCACCGGCCTTTGCCAACGACTGTTCAAGGCTGCGGAGAAAAGGACGTCAAGCGATTGACAAGGAACCGAGCATCGGTATCGACGGGGGACGGCCTGATTCCAAAAGATCTTCGAGGCCAGTCTTCGATCTTGCCTGCAAGCACAGCACTATTGTTAGATGGAGAGGTTACGGTCATCTTGTCGTCTGCAGACGGCGCACACAAGGCCCCTCTTTATCTTCCTGTCTGCGTGAGAACCCTGATGTATACTTGACAACCTCTGTGACGTGATAGGGCCACTCTATGCTACGCGCTGGCATATGTTGAACATGGGCTATTCTTGGCCAAGAGCATCATACAACTCCCAACACCAACCTTACGTGCGCTAGACAACCAAACAACTGTTACCACAATCACGCATGACGACATACTGCAGCAGGCTGGGAAAAGCACAAGGACGATCAA